GTATATATATATATATATATATATACCTACACACATACACATATATATATATGTATATGTATGGCTGGAATACTTTCAAAGAGACAAATTTGCTTGTCGTGGCAGAAAGTACTGTCGTTTCGTGCAAGTTGCGTGTCGATCGGTACCGCAATGGCAGGGATATAGGCCTGAGAGAAGGACGGCTTTTCGTCTTTATATAGTAGATTCCAAATTAACTTTCTAACAACTTATGATTCTATGTAAATGTATGCAAAAAAAGAACGTGCATGTTGTATGTATATATATATACTAGCAAAGGAATGCCGGGCCAGCGTCTATCTATATTAGTGTACATCTATTTTCAATGTATTATCTAACTTATTTCTATTTGTCCTGGAGATCTGAACCATAACAAGAACCCTTGAATGTTTCAAGGCAATCAGAGTTAGAGAAAGTAGACATCAAAACAGTAACTAGGGAGAAAAAGTGAAATGGCTATCATACGTAAAATAAAATGAAAATAAGGTGTTTTAGGATCCTTCTGGGGCATACCCAAGAATCCCTGAAAGTTTTGTGGTTGTTGGAAGTCTAGAAGTTGGAAAATATTCATTATGGACAAACAAACAAGCATACACAAAGCACTTTATAGTATAGATTGAGGGCATAGCCTAAATTCTCAATAACTTACTATTCTATTTTATTGTTTAAAAAGAGTGTAACGGACCCATTAATATATACTGACTATCATATTATGGGTTCAATTTTCTACAAGTCGAGATTATATTTCATTGTATAACGAGAGAGAGGGGGGAAGTTTTTCCACCTTTTTTCTGTCTTTCCCAACTGAGAAAAACCCTTATTCAACTGGGAAAATAGTCATAAGTGTCTTGATTTTGTTTAGTAAGAAACATTCCTAAAATTCCAAACTGACCACAGATAAACTTAACAAAATGGTAAAATAGTAAACAAAATTATTTTTGCAACTAAAAACATGATTTTTTTTTCATTAGGTGTACCAAGTATCATAGTTTGCGTTTCTCTTGGAACAAGATATTCTGATTATACATCCACGAAATAGTAAGTTTACATGTTATTAATACCACTAATAATAACCTTTTATGTATATATTTTACTGTGTTATACACATTTAGAAAATTAAATACAAATCTATGACGATATGAATGATGCCAGGGAGGTTAGGAAACGTGTTCAATGTTTACATATTAAAACTAGTGAAATTTAACCGTAATTTTTTTAACCAGCGATTCTCTTCACTTGAAACAGAAGCTATTACAATAAGAATTTCAAGAGTAACTTAAAATAAAATATTTTCAGGATAAATTATCAAATGAACTTTAACCTGTTCGATATTAAATTTAACGTGGAACATTTACGATTTTGAGGATTTAAAATTTAATGTAAGTGACATCTCTATTGTTTCTTTATATTAACGATTGATACTTGTACTACCTTGTGCCTAACATTCTTCAACTACGTTATTCCCATTTTTAAAATTCACTGTTACATTGCTGCATTTCCCCATTTTTTTATCGAAAATTATTTGCATTCAATTGTATTGCAGAAATGTTGTTTTCACACACACACACACACAAATTACACTGAAACTAATATTTTGGTGGATTACGAAACAACTACACGTGAAAGTGGACGGTGGATCAATGTAGGATGGTTTTAACATACCTTAACGGTTTATGCCCCCCCCCCATTCCCCAGTGGCTCAGCTGAAATTCTAAGGGCATGCACCGCTAAAAACCGGGTTTCGATACTCGTAGTTGGCACAATGCAGATACTCCATTGTGTAGATTTGTGCTTAATAACAAACAAACAAAAACATAATTCCAAATATATACGTCATATACCGATGGGCTAACTGGTCTAATAAAGGGTCACTAACGAAAGGTGATAATCCCGAAACGCATTCACCCCCCAGAAAAAAAGATCCTAAACAGATTTCATTCAGACTTGGCGAAAGTATCGAATACTAATAATCTTTTAGACTTGCAATTATGATAGAGTGATCATCTATGGAACTGGGCTAGGCGTGGCCTAGTAGTAGGCGTGCCTAGAATGTAAATCTTATGATCTCTAGTTCGTTGGAAAAACGCGCTTCACACTTTGTAACCGTGGATGCGCTATAAGAGTGACAGTCAAATTTCATTATTTGTTCAAACAAGAGCAGCCCAAGAGATGGCGGTGGGTGTTGTTCACTACCTGCATTTCCTATAATTTCTGAATTCAAAATTAATGATGGCTATGCGCAGACAGTCCTTTCGTAGTTTCGCATAATTCTGAAATAAACATTTTGAAAAGCTAAGAATGATGAGTATTGGGGAAACTGAGGCTGGTTGATTCACTTGTTTTAAATTTTTAGATAAAAGTTATCTGTGATTCTCAAAATAAGGGAATAAAAACAAATCACTTACCTCTTTGAAAATTATCTAAGAAATGAGCATAACAGAAAAGTGTATGCTGCGTGTCTACTTACCTCGAGTACATGAAACGTTCTGGGGTAAGTTGTCAGGGATGAAATTAAATCAAAATCACTTTATATCAACATGTTGCACATTTAATAAATGACATAAAAATACTTTAACTGTTTGTTACCATAATACCTACAAACACAGTTTGAAAACCAACGTTTAGAAAAAATATGACAAGAAAAAAATGGAAAGGGAACGACGCGATATGGAATTTACAAGAATTTCAATTGATTTTCGTTATCGTTTTCAACATTTAAACATTAACTAAGATTAATCAAAATGTATTGAAATGTTTTTGTATTATATCCATCTTTGTTTTAAGACTATAAAAAATACATGCAAATTCATCATTCTGGGGCTGGTTGACTCGCGTGTCAATCTGCCTCAAGTGAAATTTGTGAACATGCCCCATAGTGCCATTTTGCTAGAAATAACTTATGTGCCATTCCAGTCATAGTTACCAAGCAAAATTATGTATCATTATGTAGCCTAAAGAATGCGCTTTCATGTAGTATGTAATTTAAATTCTCTTAACAAAGTACTTAATGTAACAAAACAAAATCCTAGCAATAGAAAATATTTAATTACGTATGTGAAAATATCTTTCTTTTTATTCCTGCATACGACAGAGGCTTCCTATCACGATAAAACTACAACAACGAATGACGAGTGTTTAGATGTGTTAGTGGTCATGATATCACAGCTACCAACTTCAGCATATGAAAGTTATCGACACTGTGTCAACCTGCCTCTGTGACCAACCAACACCGGTATCCCTTACTGAGAACACGCATGTTTGAAGCATTTAAGACTTTACTTTAAAATGAAACAAGTACACTTTAAAGCCTCAGCTGTTAGATTAAATATCAGTAAGCACAGCTTAGCTTTTTTTTATCACTATATTCCAACGTCAAACATAAAGGGAATAATCCGCAACCCATCTCACTGTTGTTTAACAGTCGCCACCGTCTTATTCTCTATATGAAACAAATAACATATAAGAGTGGCAACGGCACTGAAGTATCTTCACTGACTGAAGTTTTAATTCAACATCAACTTTTACAAAGTCACCCTATTTCTACATATAATGATTGAAATCATTGAGCAATGAATTAAGTTAATGAAATATGGCTTTTTTAATTTATGGACCTCTTCTGCCTTTTTTTACAATTTAATTCTAGTTGTATCATGATATAGAAACATACTATATTTCTTGTTTTAAGTATTTTAGAACAATAATAACAGTTTTTATATATACTCGTGACTAAGAAACTAATTCACAGTTTTCTAGGGTATAATAATTTTTCTTTTCTTTTTTGTCAACTAGTTGCTGGCTGACAAGTGAAAATGGCCTCACATGGAGCTTTGCAGGACCAGCAGCTTTTATTATATCGGTAACAAGTGTGCTTTACGATCTCAAACAAATCAATGATACTTATGCGTCAATAGAATACGTGTACTTCTCTTACAAGTGTCCTATACTATTAAAACAAACTAATAACCATGTTGTCCCTAAACATCATTTTATGTTAAATATTCATGAAATATTCCCGCAAAAGAACATTCAAAGTAATGTTTATATACCAAACTTTAATTTTTTGTCCACATTTAGTAATAGATTACCATGTTTTCTAGCAAGGGAAATATAGCAAAATATGTTTTATTTGCAACTTTACAATTCTAAATAGACTGCTAATTTCAAGTTATTAGTGTTAAAAATTGTAGAAAACAAATAGAAAGAAACATAAAACTTACTAAAAACAAGGGAGCACATAGATAAGTGGTGTAATTCATTAAATACAAGAATGGCACATAGATAAGTGGTGTAAATTACTAAATACAAGAGGTACATAGATATGTGGTATTAGATATACGATAATGTACTAAATTTAAAGGTCACACATAGAAAGAAAGATTAACGTATTCAATACAAGGGTAACACTTAGATGGAAAAATATACCAAAAACCAGGGATGACACATAGATAGAAATATATAATGTACTAAATACAATAGTGAAATATAGACAGAAATGTACTAATTTACTAAATATAAGGGTGACACATAAATAGACAGATAATTTACTAACTACAAGGGTGTTATATAGATAAAAAGATGCAACTTACAGAATACAAGAGTGATCCATGGTAAGATGTAACTTTGTGAATAAGAGTGAACTGTGCGAGTGGTAATGTGTTAATAAAGACAGTAATCTGCGTAAAATTTGTGGTACAAGCGTGGCCTACGTGTCATGAATAAATCAAGTTACATACCAACTACAGAAAACAGTTAACGAATAATCGGATTATTGTAATATTATAACTATGACAAGGCACAACTACTGTTACAAATATTAATAAATAACATCAACCATCTCCTCAGTCCACTGTTGAGATATTTAATGATCAGTTATGTGATATGTAAAGGAAATGATTTAGCTTAATTTGTGTATATTGGTCACTACGTTCTTGTTTCAGTTCTCATTGAATCACATAGTTTGAAGTTGTTCATGGCTTATGGTTATACCTCCAAGAAGACAACTGGATGTTTCACTCACGTCTATCCTGGCACACTAGAATGGCAGAATACCTGTCCCCAAACTGTCTGTAGCCGCAACTGGACACCGTGTCACTATACAGACAGTTAGAAAGAGTCTTAACAAGACCGATCTGTATGACGAATGAATCGTACAGATGAATCGTACTTCATCCTGATGGCAGATAATAGTCATACGCTCATTTGGAGAGACTCTAGAATGAAATTCAGCCCTATTTTCTTACAGGCGCATGTAACAGTGAAGAAAGTACGGTAGGAGAAGGTGTATGCATTGATGGACTTATTGAATTATATGTCCTGCGGAATGATACAACGAATATGCAATATTTTACGAACCACATCCCATGCACATTGGTTGTGACTTCAGTCGAATGAATAATAACACGTGTTTCCTCCACACTAAGGTTGTTAGTTTGTTCGATGGAGAAGAGAGGATTAGCTCTGACTGGAAAGGCATATACGCTAGGATATTTTAAATAGTTGTTGAGGTGAATTCAAATACAAGTTTTAGCGGAGAGAATTCTTTTTTTCAAATTTTCGTGGAACTCATCCTTCAATTTACTTGTATAACGACGTCAGTGATGTATAGGATACAAATGTTAGCTGTGACTCACCCAATCAAATTAATCCAGACACTAGAGATGCAACTGGACATAACTGTTTCAGATGAGTGGATGAAAACAACTCAGGACATTAACAACACTCTCATTTTAAACATGTAACATTGACGTCAGGCTACCCTTGCTGTTCGTCAAGACCACATGTAACATTGGCTTCAGGCTACCCTTGCTGTTCGTCAAGACCACATGTAACATTGGCATCAGGCTACCCTTGCTGTTCGTCAAGACCACATGTAACATTGGCATCAGGCTACCC